AACATGATTTACATCCCGTCCCCATGTTGACAGTGACCTGATAAACTATTTACTGGGATTGTTTGTTGTCATCACCACACAGATCATGTTCCCTCACATGTGATCCATGAAATGTCACGGGGGAGGGGGGCTTAGAACTGAGATTATGCTTTCATAGAGTTCTATATGAATCTTCAAGCAGATGTATGAACCAGGGCTAGCTCGACTTTTTTTTTCATCAGTCCAGGTTCAACCTAGGGGGAGAGTGCTTGCATTTTAGCCTCCATAGCATGCCAAAAACTGGGGGTTTGGGGGGTATTCAGGGTCTTTGGGAGGTTTTATGTGCTATTTTCTGATTGCATATAGACAACATAGCCGGCCTGGTTGAATTACCCCCGTATTTAGAACTGGGCTAATCAGAAAACAGCCGAAGACCACCAAACCCCCAGTTCTATAACTTCTGAGTATAAGCCTGCTGCGGAGGCTATAGCAATCTAAGGGTGTATGATTGCATTGGGGGAAATTCCACTACATCTTTCCAAAAGTGCAGTGAACAGTGTATCCTACACTTGTGGATAATATTTCGAAGGCCTTGATGCCAAAAAATTAATTGCTGTAGGGTGTGGCCTAAAGTTGAACCCTACCCTTCAGCGCCCACCCAGACTATCCTTAGTCAAAGACCCATTAATTGTCTACATACCTCACACATTAGGACATAGTTCTAGGGTCAGTACTGTACTATTTCTGGCCTGACCACACAAGGAAAATGTTTGTTGGCAGGGCCTGTACAATGTCTGTATAAACATTCGCAAATGGCAGGTATTTACACAACAGGAAACCAAGTTGGTATTATGTCTATCAGTTCTGGCCACCGTACGTATTTCTGTAATTTGATGGAATTTTGCCGCTTATGACAGATAAAAATTTTGCTCAATCCGTCATCTTTGATGGACAGAAATCGGTGTCTAAAGATATGGTAAGAGATGTCATGAAACTAAGCATAGTATACCAGCAAAATGTTTCTCTAAAAATGCAGGAAATAACATTAGACAGGGTCAAGATTTCAACATTTTCCCAGGGAAGCACCCCTAGGCCTCTCCCCAAAAAAAGACCCCCCTAGGAAAGACAGGTCGATGAAACAAATTGAGATGATTTAAAAATTTCAGGCTCACTAGAACAATGGTCAGTGGTCTGGGAACAAATGGACATGACCTAAAATGGGACAAAGTGATATGTAGGACGATATCGATCAGCCAAAGACCATAACTTTCAGGTCTGAGGAAGTACTATTAATCTGACAATATCCAATTACAGAATCAATAACAATGATGGTATCATCTGACAAGATAATACTGACATGACCTATAGGTCAGGACTAAGTAAAGTATCACATATTGTACATGTACTTCCATGCTGTTATATATTTGAAACACAATTAATTCAGTGGTTATAAAATTCAGCTTCAAGCCTAACAATGAATTGTACATGTATTTCATCTGTATTCACACTAAAACACAAGCAACTGCATTAATGGTATTCAATCATTATATGTTAGCAAGTATAAATTCTTTTTTTAAAGACACAACTTACCATATTGTAAATTCATCTCTTTTCACAAGATTTAATTCAAAGTAAGACTAGAAAGGCATTTTTTTGTGTTGTAAGTTCATAGTTGAAACAATTCTGTTGTATAATAATAATATTTTGCAACCAAATTCAGTGCCACGCTTTCACATGGCAGATGTCACTTTGAATTAAAATAATAAAAACCACCACGAACATTTAATGATGTACAGTATATTAATCCATAGCTTTTTCTATCAGTACATTATATTTCAATAAAAAAAAATCTAAAAGACCAATTTTCTACCCTAAATGGTTTAGAGGTTGTACAGAATAGTGAGTTGTAAAACATGTCGCTCCGTTAATTGGAACCTGAGAGAATTTGTAGTAATTAGTGTCGGCTGACTGGTGCAGATGTAAAGTATTGATTCCAATACTCTGTCTGGGGTGTACAGGGTAACCACTCACGTTGCTGTCTGGGCTTTTCAGGTGAAAATCAAGTAATGGAGGTTCTAACATTGGTGGCACTGTGTTTTTTTGGTCGACTTTTGAAGATTTGACATGTACATGTACAGACCTAGATTCCTCAATGAATTTTTGTGTGGTTTGTTGTCTTACAGGTACTTTATTATCTTTCATAAATATTTCAATTATGAGATCAAAAGGCCACACAAACCCAATTTTCATTGCACCTAAATGTCTTCTACGGCTTGAATCTAAAGGTTCAAATCCCTTGCAGGTCCCAAAGTTATGTCCAGGGTAAGGCACTTAACAGAGCTCTATTTTCTCACTTGACTCAGGTAAAAATGAGTACCTAGCTTTGGTCAGGGACATCCTCTTGGATAGGACGTAAAGCTGGAGGTCCTGTATTTGAGGAGAGACAGGTTAAGATCCCCTGGCACTTATTGAAAAGAGTAGAGGTTTTTCCTGGTGTGGGTGGTTCAAACCTTACAGTCCATATTATGGTCACATCTGGGGTTGTATTGAAGTCACTTGAGTGCTGAATGACAGCTGACGTAGCCCTTGCGATTCGGCCCCATGAATTGTATTATTGAACCCAATGCATTAACCACAAAGCTGAAAGGTCCGGACGAATTAGACAGGTCAGTTGGTGGTGTTTGAAAGATGACGTGGAAGTAGAGTCTTACCAGGATTTCCGTTTCTAAGGACAGAACACGACTGGTAAAGCTCGGTGCCCTTTATGATACTTTTCAATTATTCAAAACGGATTTGTATAAATGATGAGCTTCTTCAACTTCTTCCATGTAGAAAAACGAAAATTGACAATTCATTTTTGAAATGGAAACTTTTGTTACCAATATTCAGATTTCAGGATAGCTCATTTAAATTGGAATGCAGTATTTTTGGCAGGCACCTATCCACTGCAAATTGACAATAACATACTACAGAATTGTTTAAAAAGAAGACTTTAAACACAGTGAAAACCTTTCTCCTTCTCTTACAAAATTACTCCTTGCAAAAATAAATGAATTTACTGTACACAAAGTAGGTCTTACAAATCTACAGCCTAAATCCTTCACATTTAACCCTTTTTCCTGCTCACCTAGGAAGAACCGATAGACAATTTTGGTACTGGGATGAGCTCACTGTATACATTTTGTACAAACAAGGCTTCAAGTATACAAACAAAACAAAGCAAAGTGTTTGAGTTTCCTTTGCAGCTTCTGTTATTTCTGGACTCACTGAAAAGTCACACCTGCCAAAAGAGCAGTTTTAACTTACATATGTACTATACAAACAAATGTACCCTACCCTTAAAAGGTGACAGTATCAAATTTCATATGCTCCTGTACAAAGACCGCTGCAGTACAATGACAAGTTGCCAGGGGGCCCAAAATCTAATCATTACTAGGTCTCATCATGACCTATCCACCTACCAAATATCATGACAATCCATACAAAGCTTCTTGAGTTATCATGCTAAACCACATATATGTACACACACATACAGAAACGTTCCATCACCCAAAAGAACCTTCCTGGCGAAGGTAGTAACTATAATTACCCTTCCCTTATAAAATTGACTGAGAATACATCGCATACCTGTACGTCAAAATAGCAAACGTTCCATTTTTAGTCACCGTTACTTACCTACATAGTGAGACCATCCTTTTGAAGCAACACAACGTTTCTTCGCTTCCAAAATGGCTCGGTGAGAACCTAATTATCCAGACGCTATAAGAGGCCCTTATAACATTCCTGGCTATGTGGGGGACTTGTCAAGGTCAGGTCGCGACCTTTCTGAGAGCTGTCCCAACGCGACCTATGACCCAGAAAGGTCAACCTTTGTACTGTCTTTCTATGTGTATAATTATGAAATGCCTGCCTTTATGATTATTACCAGGGAACAAAACAGAAAATGATAGCAAAATGTAGTAGGACAAAATTTTAATTTAGATAGACATTGAACAAATAGGTACAACAACAACAAAAAAAAGATACCATCAACTGATATTTTGGTTGGTATTTCAAACTTTACTGTACCCGTACTACATGTTTATACCATGTGCTGATGAAAAGAAGATATCATATATATTGAATATATGTTTGAAGTCGCATTTTGCGCATTTGACATTTGGTCTATAGTTTTCAATCGTTGTGTCAGAAAAGATGTCGTCTGCAACAGGCAAAATTCTATTCCAATGTTGACCAACTTTCAACAAAAACCATGAAAAATCCGGGTTTTGCACAGGCACAATACATTCTGTCAACGTACAGTATTTGTGTATGATAATATTGTGTAGTATAAATGATATGAGCTAGAACAGAACCTAGTAGTATACTGAAAACCTGTCAATGTTGGAACAAGAAGTAAAAGTTCTCCATCAAAGTTCCCGTTCTAGCTATATACTAGCCATAGGCCTATATTTGACCCAACCTTGGCACAACTTCTGTGTACATAATAACTTCAAAGGAAAAATTATTTGCCAACGTTTAAACCCAACCCACTTGTTTACTCAGTGCATGCCCAAAGACCTTTGAATTGGTACCCGTTGTCGCAAACATGTCAATCAAATAAAGATAAGACTACAAAAATCAATATGTTTAAAGCTTATTGTAATCTAATATATTTGATCATATATGTACTACTAGAAAACAATGTAATGGCTACTGTAGTACTAATGTATGTCAATACAATCATAATTGCAGCAACAAAAATAAATAGTTGTATAAATAGTACATACTATATACTTTTCCTAAGTACTGTAAATTTTCAAATGTTAACGGTGGTTTTATTTTCACATTTTTTCAACCTCTCCACTGTAAATCCAATACTCTGCAAATATTAATATATTAATGTATAACAGAATTGTTTCGACTAAAAAAAAACATTTTCCCTTCTATTGTCAATTTCTTAAAAGTGATCTGTGATACTTTTCTTATAGTGAAAGACCAAAGACACTCATGTACAAATGTATATCTAACTCTAAGCTTACCTGGTGAAGATTTTGCTGTGTCTTCTCTGATATCCGTTGACTTCTTGCTTGTTACCGCACAGATATTGGTGACAGTATGCAGCTATGTACTAGCAGCTACGGGCGTATCTAAGGATAGACAAAGATGGCATCAGTATCAGTACAACTGCATCCATTCTGCAATAAAACATAAAATAACATGAAAATTGAGTAAAATAGCAAGCCTAAATGTCATGCAACGCAAGAAAACATCATTGATAAATCTCCAACTTAGTCCAAGCAGATGTTGGTGTGAAAGGTTGTAACGTTTTCTAACTGAAAGCTACTTACTGGATAGCTAACTGAGAAGTGGGGTAGTCAATGAACATTATTATCATCCACCAACTATCTACTTGGAAATTACTTAAGTTGGATGACAGTCAGACTTACTCTTTTCCTCATCATGAAGTTATGCAGAATAACAAAACTGGTAAGAACTAGTCACACTGTCACTGAGGTATAGTATGTGGCAGTCCTATGGTGAATTCCCACAATGCTAAGGGTGGGACAACCTGCTTCATTTGTTTGGACTTCTTCTAACAAGGCTTGGCACTTGGAATGACTTCAGGAGTGCATATTTACTAGATTATATGTACATCTGCTCTTTTTTCTATCATACATTCAAGATTTTTAGTATCAAATTCATCTAGTGAACATGAGTGTTTTGAACAGACAAAATAGTTACACATGTACTATGGCATCTTCTTTAACATCAAGCATGTTCACCCATCTCTCCTTTAATGAGGGCCTGCAAGGGGGGGTCCCGACAACGCTCTACGCTGAATTTGGAAACCTCTCGATTATGCTTTACGATAAATTCCAAGTGGCTACAACGCATTACGTAGAATTAAAACGCCGAATACGCTCTACGCAAAAATATTAGAGCGGTCCGTCTACGCTCTACGTAGAATTAAAACGGCAGATTACGCTCTACGGAAAAGGGCTTGCGGGCCCCCTTTAATGTCTGACTCTGAGACACTACATCACACCCAATAAGTACTGCCTTGGTACAATCTACATGTACATGTATCACTGACACACCCGGTCAACACTAACTGACCCACCCATACCAGCAATGCTTCAACAGTACCTGCAACTTGACATTAATTATTAGGGTGGACAAACCGGCCACTTCTATCTGCTGCTTGTCTTGGCAAGCTTTCGGGATTCTTTGGACGACTTCATTCCAACATACGTACATAACAGTACGGTACCCTGTACTCTAGTAGTAACCCTGCCACTGGACTATATATGTGAACTTTTCAGACAAACCATGCTCAAATGGTACAACTGCATCAAGCTAACACAATACAAATTTGAGCCAAAGAGCTTCCTTAGCTGGCAGAAGGTTACAGAAATACAGTTATTTTCTACGATACATGTATATAGCTACATGATTTAATATTACTCCATATATTATATACATAACATCTCTGGTAGGTACCTGTGTTGTCGTGTCCTTGGGAAAGGAAGGCACTTTATAATATTTACAATGTATTTCCTTACTCAAATCAGGTGAAAATGAGAACCTAGCTTTGGTTAGGGACATCCTCTTGGATTGGAGTCCCATGTTTGAGGAGAGCCACACTTCAAACATGTTAAAGAACCCACCACACTTATCGAGAACAGTATGGGTCCTTCCCGGTGTAAACGGTTTAAACCTTACAGTCTGGTCTTTCCTAGCATGTACCTTAGGCTTGAAGTTATACAAAACTGGTATGTTATGCCTAAAGGTGGTCTACTGGTCATGCGAAATGAAGAAAAGAACATACTACCCTTCTCCCCAGCTCCCCAGCTCTCTCCAGACAGACCCTGACTCCAGTACGTACCTCAAACACTCTACCTGGTGCTGTACCAGATCTGTTTGTCCCCCTCCTCTACAAATGTTGACACTATGCTAGACATGCCCAGAGCACACATGTAGTGTGGAGTAGGCAGTTAGGACTGGCTACAGGCCTTCAGGATATGTCCAACTCAAATATTGTTCAACATACTTCTGCAGTACAGGGATAGCCAGTGTGAAAGGATGTTACCGTAGATCTCAAAATGTTCTGAGTGATTTTATGGTACTTTCATGGTGACTTCTCTACGAATTCACAACACAGCAAGTACTGAAGAACTGTTTAAATTGCATGCGAAACTGAACATACCACGAAAACCCCTGTTCCCCTTTTACTGTGAAGTTAAGCCACTGTGAAAATAAATGAGCTTACAGTAACTTCACATTTGTTCATAATACTTGTACATGTATACAGTATAATACTGTTGTGAGGTTATATATTTCCATTTAAAATCAAGACAACAAATAAAGAATGTATATACTGATCACTCAATCTTTATACTGTACCTATATAGTATATTTATCTGTCATCAGCAAAAAAATGCTATATGTATACAAGATACATAATTAAACAGCAGAAATTGTAAATTTATGACATTATAACTGGAGACTTATTTTCCTGTTTTGAGATCCCAGACAATCACTTCAAGTTCTAGTCACAAGTAGTCAGCAGTACTTGAAGTCGGCAAACACAGCGTCAACTTCAAGAGCAGGAGTCAACAGGGCAGACAATCTGACAAAAGGTTTAAAATAGCTCAACAACTTGGTCAACTATGAATGACACACTACGTGGGAATTCCACTTTTTCTAATACGTCCAGCAAGGATTGAAGCATGCATGTTTAACTTGGAGATTCTACAATGGAGGAAAAATAGGTATAAAATGTACTTTATACTTATACATGTACAGACAAGTTGGAATAAGGGATTTCTTTGAGTTTGAGGCACTGTGTGTGTTCTAGCCAGCATCCATGTTTCCATTGGAATTCTGCTGGTCATGAGAGACAAAAATTTTGCCCCATCCGTCATCTTTGAGTTTGACAAGGTTGGCGTGTAAAGATACAAGACTTTCAGATTTAATTAAAAATGATTTGTTGCATTGTGTTGGGACTCACTAGGAAAGTTATTTTCTTTCCAATCTAAGCATTGCATGGTAAATATAAACATTGCCCCATTACAAATTTTACACTTCCTGTCATGATCATAAACAAATTATCACCCCCTTCAACAAATAAACTTTACCCTATAAATAGGCCTGTGTCTTTCCCATGCTCCATAGCAAATTTTACACTTCCTATCATTATTATCATTATCATAAACAAATTTCCAGGTCCTCAAACAAATAAACACTGAGGTATAAATAGGCATATGACTTCCTCGTGCTGTCAAGCTGTTTTACTTTACTGAATAATGATTTCTCTGACCCCAGACTTGCCTGAGTAACGTGTAAAATTTTCCAGTGGAATTGTCCATTGATTTTACCATTTGTAGAGAAGACCACACCGGAACAAGCTGACAGCACACAGCTGTTACTAACATGACTAAGGCAGGGCTGGGCCTGAATTTTTACTTGGGGGAATGGAAGTATGGTTTTGAGTGGCTGAGTTGTACCTTAGCCTGGTTACCAAACCTATTATAGCTACATCCTCTTCGCAAATAGGTCTGGACCTGGTTGATTCCCAACGAATTTTGCGGAGAGGATGTAGGACTCGGGAGCTATAATTATGTTTGGTAACCAGGCTAGTTGTACCTCTGCCAAAAAACAGTTACTCAAGCAACTGGATATGATTTTGAAAACGTCAGACGTTTCAGCTAGTATCCATAACAATAAAGCAAGCTTGAAGAACTTGATCATTTCCCTTTTCAGCACAAGCAACACAATAAATTATACAACAACCAAAATCAAATTATAAAGGAAAACAGAATACAAAATCATGTGCTGAAAGGGTTTTTCCCTTAATCATAATTCAGGGGTGAATATCTGTTCAAACAAAAAGTAACAAAAACATAATAGGAATCAAAATTCAAAATCATACCAAATGATAAACAGAGTGAAAAAATGAACTTCTCATCAATATATGCCTACCATTGTAGACATAATATAACAAATATAGTTTTTTTTTACTTTTCAACACATGCTTGACTTCTCAATGTCAAGTGTATTTAATATTTGAAAATTGATTATGAAGAGGTCTATTTTAGTCTTTGCTTTCCTGGGTAATGTAGCTGTAATTGAAGGGCATACCACCTCGAGTAGCTGAAAATAGCCGCCTTATCAAACCAGGAAGCCAGGGTGATGAAGTTATGCCGTGTGGCTACCATGTGACATTCTCACAAACTGGGAGAGAAAAAAGTCCTGATAAGGCCACACCAATTTAATTTCTTGGTTAACGGATTTTTCTAGAAAAATAATGGAGCAGGCGGGTGAAAAAAATTAAAATAAAAACAGGCCTAGGCATCGTATTATGGCCCAAAATGGTATGATAGGAGCCATGAAGTCAACACACCAGACTGGTTCAAAATTTAAACAATGAATTTTGAACTTTTAATGATACCATTGCATTGAAAGATGGAATAACTGTAACAACTAGGATGAAAAGGTCTGTTTAACTGTTCAGGGTAAAATATGAGCATTTTGCTGTTGATTCTGGATTTTTATTTTTATTTGCAAATCAGAAAAAAATGAAGCGGCGAATCCGTTAACCAAGAAATTAAATTGGTGTGGCCTAAGCCAAGGTCACACCAAGTTAATCAATTGGTTCACGGATTTGCCTGTTTCTTTTTCTTTCAAAGAATTAAAGATTCTGGTTCTGAATCAACTCCAAAATGCTCACATTTTGGCACCAAGTTCCAACAGTTGAAGAAAGTCCTTGTTTTTCTTTTTTTTTTAGAACTTTGTTACATTTTTTTTTATCTAAATGTATCAACGCAATGATATAGTATCAATACCAAAGTGACCCCTCGATCATACCAACTGATTAAATAGCGACAGAAAGGCTCATACTTCTCTTGTTATCTACAAATGCCAAATCTACTGCAACCAAAGTGTCTAGACTTTTTGCCATTCATAGGTAACTACACAAAAGTGTACCCTTCACGAAATAGACCCAGTTGCTGCCTTCCTTCAAACTTCAAAGCTGGTAGATGTTACGCAAAGGAGAGATTATTTCTGATTGGGTAATATAACTAATACTGCTAAATGACACCCTCTGCTACTTTCCCACATTTAAATCTTCATGAATTACCATCAAACACCTGTTTATGTAAAACATCTGACAACACCCTGTCAATCACCACAGAACTGGTATAATGCCTGAGGCACTACTGTCCCAATTGAGAAGATTGAATACAATTGGAATTACATTTACAATGGGCACCCCAATTTCTGAAACAAAAGGCACTAAGTGACAACACAATGCATTTAATATGTCTCTATTCAAATATGAGAATAACACTGTTCTATTCTAATTTTTTTACAAAGCCATTCCCGGAGGCCGCTATTTGAATGGGAAAACACTAACACAGAAATGTAAATTGGTACAACAAAATGTCTACTTTACAGATCTATCGAATGTTTCTACATACATTATGAGGGGTTTGACTTCTTTTTTTTTTGGAGGTAGTGGATAATAAACAACTTAATAATACCCCACCAATTTACATAACATTAGCATCTAAAAAGAAATAAACTATATGTAGCAAAGATTTACAATGAAAATATAAAGTGTTATGAATATAAATATACAGTAATTCTTGTGTAAACGTCTTCTTTATACAATCTACAGCCAGTTCTCACAAAAGCGTCCCCTCACAAGTTATCTATTCTCACATTGGCAAGACACACCCTGAACCCTGACTTACACATAAAGGGTAGCCTGGGGCAAAAACATTCTGGGCGCTGTCTGACTAAGGTAATACACACATAATGTCCCTTGAGGTGTCCTTACATCCTCTTTAGGGATGCGTCCTTTTGTCTATTTTCCTCTCGGGTAATCAGACAGGTAGTACATTGTTATATTGCGCATACCTGTACTTAAGAGCAGTTTTCACTTAAAACAGGAAGGAAATACCAAGATAGAAGCTTTCTATCTAGATTTACACCCAGATACCACTACTGTAATTGTGGCAAAACAACCCGAAACTGGGCTCGAAACCACTAGTAGTAGTAGTACTCTGGTGTGGGTAACATTGAAATTTACCTACACCAGACAAATTTTACCTGCACCACTCAGGATTTAGGAAGCACGGATCACAGTACTTCTGAATACTATTCAGAAACCATTGTTTCTTTTCAATGTAGCAAATAAAAATCTAAATACACCTACATGTATACTAGTATATAAAACCCTATACATGGACCAGTGCAGGTTAGGTGAAGGTACTAGTAGACATCAGAAATACCTGCACAGCTCCAACTTTACCTGCACTAACCTGCATATACTGTATATAATACAGGTGGTACATGTATTTCCAGCCCTGCCTAAATGTTAACTATTCAAGTGCTTCTGGCCATCAGAAATACTGGGAACGTAATATCAGACAACTGGGTATTGAAATATGCGCATTCAAGCTGCCTGTATCAGCCTATCTGCCTGACATATCGTCCAGTCAGTATCTCATATCACTTCACCACTCTAACATATCAGGGCTTCAGAATCCCCATTAGTGAAGAGTGGGACAACCAGGATATGTATGGTGATGCTATCAGATACTGGTATATATGCATGACCCTTTACACAGATACAGTTATTGATGTGTATAGCCTTTAAAATCGTATACTAGTGTAACACTAACAGTGGGGTTCAGGCACCACCAACTCTTCAGTGTCACCCAGACCTTTTAGCCTTGCGGTTAGTGCATTGGGTTTGAGAGCTGGGGGCCTGGTTTGGCCCGGGTTCGATTCAAACATTGGTTTGGTGACACTGGAATGATTCAAGCTAAAGCTAGATATTTCTCAAACGCAGAATAACAGAAATCAAACTTCAGAATGCCTGTTTGGACCCCGTCACAACTCCAAGTCAGTCAAAACTTTCTCCTATATTGTAATTTAAGGCAAATATTCAGATAATTTTCCTATCAATGTTATGGGGGTCAGACTATTTTGCAAAAAATAAAACGATCAGAAGAGCAAACTGGTACTAGAATAGGACAATATTCTGGGCTAGGATTAGCCGTGGCGACTCTTGACTCGGGCTTACATTGCATTACCCTCAGCAAGAGTCGTGGAAAGATCCATTGGCAGAACTGCACATTTCCCGTTGGCTGCTCGATGCTCCGTTTTTGACCCGGTTTTTTGCTGTCCCGAGCTTCCCTACAATATAACTCCACAATTGGCCGGGTTGCCGCCATTTTGGATATAGTCGGGAATGTCCGCTACCGCCGTCGGGAACGCTCGGTAGGCTTTCCGGTTATGATCGGAGAGTTTTCGGTCCCGCTTCGGTAATCGTGGCGCTACCGAGCGTTCCCGACGGCGGTAGCGGACATTCCCGACTATATCCAAAATGGCGGCGCGGATGTACCGACTAGCTATTTTAGTACTTTCCCGTCGCGCTGTGGAATATTTAGGCCGATCTGAACATCGGCAACCCGGCCAATTGTGGAGTTATATTGTAGGGAAGCTCGGGACAGCAAAAAACCGGGTCAAAAACGGAGCATCGAGCAGCCAACGGGAAATGTGCAGTTCTGCCAATGGATCTTTCCACGACTCTTGCTGAGGGTAATGCAATGTAAGCCCGAGTCAAGAGTCGCCACGGCTAGGCTAGGATATACAAAACATTACATGAGACACCTTGAAAATTATCAAATCAAATACAGATATTTTTTTTATTAGTTTTTATCAACCATTTCAGTAGATTTATGTTTGATTGAACAAAATATAGCTACAAAAGCCCATCTTATTTTTATACTTTGGGTATGTTATAGAGAGATATATATTATATCATTTTTTATCTTCAAAAACTTGTGAGCCCCCCTCCCCATACTGGACACTACTTGTCAAAAATTATGCTGACCTTGTACAATTTTCCAGTCGTGGGAAACAAAAATAAAACACTGGCGATGTTTGCAGGAGATTTTCCAGCCGTATTTAGACAATACTAACTCAGTCATGTGCGAGTCAAGAGTCTCTTGGACAAATCCAGCCGGCCAATATAATTGCAAGTCTTGTACTTGAACGTGTGTGAACCACTCTCAAAGTTCTTCAACAAAACACGCACACACTCACTTCAGAAATACAAAAAGCCATCTGCCCTTGAGTTTAGGGCACAGAATTCTACAGTAAGGATAAAAATGTGGTTATAGAAAGCTGGTGGGATGTAAAAATGGTGGAAATTTGAGAAGATATCCTTGTGGGGAAAGACGGTAGGGGGAAGAAGAGGAATTTCGGGGAATGGTTTTGAGGCGCCGGCATAAAATAGGGTACGGTCTGGCGATCGAACTAGACAGACACAAGCGAACAAAAACATTTTTAACTCCCTTGTGACAGCGGGGAAAAAAGGCTGACGTATTGATTTTTTGCTTGCCAGTGTGAGATATAACCTCTATTTTCTAAATCCGAGAGAAATTTCCTAAATTCAACGCCTCAAAACATGGGAAAATGTAGGAAATTTTGCAGCAAAGCGTCCATGACCGGCCAAGCGTTGGACCACTTTTTGGACGACCCGTAACTTGACATGCAGTACACACAACGCCAGTTTTGGGCAAATAAAACGGGGTTCCCTCACCTTTAAAGTCAGGCTGTATTCCGGGCGATATCCTTGGGCGATTGGAGTTGTTTTTGGGTTAGATTTAAGGGTTGATCAGGTAAAAAATCACACTTTTAAAGCGAAAACAGCCGAGGCTTTGGAGTCAGCCTGCCGCCATGTTGTGAAATGTGACTGCTCTCTTACTGGGTTGTACCATTGCGGTGGGTCCATGGGGGGTGGACCGCTTTAACACAAAGAGACCCTTGTTCATGGGTCGAAAGCCCTGGAAAAAGTTGCGTTTTTTAATATATCGACCAAACTACTAGTAACTTTTTGATGGACAACATATTTACTTGAAGATATTACTTTTTTTTTCGCTTGTCCTACGCATACCAGAATTGATAAGCAAGAAAGAATGCGAATTATGTGATAATACAAGTGAGAAAAAAAAAGATAAAATCGATCTTTTTTTCGTCGGATGGAAAAAAGGATCGAAATCATAATCTACTGATTTCTGTTATATTTATCATAATCTACTGATTTCTGTTATATTTCACAATCACTGTTGACTTAGAGACTGAAGATAAACCAAAACAGTAATGTCGAAGCGTCTAGCTTTTAATACATAAACAAAATATCCCTCAAGTTACAGTGATACACTGTGATATGGGTGTTTGGAGTCAAGTGAAATGTATCTTCGTAACATTGAATTTCAGGTTTGCGTGCAGTCTGCACAACATTATACATCACTGACACACGTGGAGAATTCTTCTTCTTCCTTATAAAGACCGCTGTACCGCCGTTTGTGGGTCAGACGTGTCCAACTGTATACTCAACTATCTTTCCACGTCCTTGGTACTGTTATATGTTTACATACAGTTATGGTGGTGACAGATATGGAACTGCCTGCTTGCATGATGTACTGTATACTAACAATTATATATACAATACAGTTCTGTCCGTGTGAAATATACAGTAATCAAAGTTTCCGCGTTGAGAACTTTAAAATTGGAAGAAATGCTAGTCAAGTCTTTAATATTATTATTTGATGGAAAACAAACTCAAGTTAATTCAGTCTTCGTTGGTTTCGTTTATTTTCCTTTATTTTTACAATTAGATTTTTACAATTTATATCTATAAACATGATTTTCTTCAGTATAGAAGTCATTAAATGCTTGTAGTAGTAAGAAACTGTCTTCTGGTCTCCGGTCATAGCAGTCATGCGTTCGGTTGTGACTTTGTGACATTTTATCTGATTTGTACGAAAGACCATAGGAACAAAACGTAAAACAGACGACAAGCTTAAACAGACGACGAGCTTAAACAGACGACGAGCTTAAACAGACGACGAGCTTGCTTAAACAGACAACAGGCTGGCTGAAACAGACGACGAGCTTGCTGAAACAGACGACGAGCTAATACACAGACGACGAGCTGCTGAAACAGACGACGAGCTGGCTGAAACAGCGAAGGAGCGACGCTCCCGCTCCAAGGCTGGAAACCCTGGCTCCTTGTATAGTGTACGGTCCCTTCTGAGTGACACCAGATGCTGTCTATGGCCCTGTTCAGATTGAATCAGTGAAAGCGCCTTACATGTGTTGATGATATGAATGTTAGACATCCAGGTAAACAATACTCATAGGAAATTCAAACTCCTACTACTGGATAAGTTATGGAGATAATATCCGGGCGTTTCCAAGTGACATTCACCACTCTTCTTCAGCGTCACTAATGAACTAAGTTAAACGTTAACTTTGTTAATTGATTTGTTTCTTGCAAATTCATGCCCGAGGGCTAATCGCATACAGACATTGACAATAAAAATGTGGTGATATAAGACTATTTGCTAACATGAACTTCTACGTGTACGATATACTTATCGAACCTACTACATGTATCTCTACTAATAACGTTGGCATACATACAGGCTAAACAAAAGTAAATATGCAATATGAGAACAGGTAATAGGAACAAGGTAACTGCTATTCTAATCCGTTCTATTCTATTAAACTATTCTTGTCATGCTATAGGGGTTTGACTTCTTCTCAGGAAGCAGTGGGAGATGAATTGTCCGAACTACTTTAAAAAATAAAAAGGGTTGGGAGTGAACAGAAGACGATAAAGCACAATTGAGCTACTCCCCACTTCTAAACAGCCGTCACCATCTTCCTGCTATAAAACCCATCAGGGGTCGTTCGGTTTATAGCACCTTCGGGGTGCCCATCAAAGAATGACACTCTTTTATCTGTCAGATTATAACAGTTTTCACATCGAGTTGAAAAATGTGCTTGCCTGCCTGGCTGTCTGTTTACTGTACTGCTCGTAATGAACTGAACAATTTCGCCTTTCTGACTTTCCACCTCCATGCTTTCTACAACTTTCCACCACACAATAAGTTAGTTGCTGACATTTTGCCATCCTTCCACCTTGTATTAATTAGTATGTGTAGGTTTGTTGTGTGTGTACGTGCGCTCGCGCCTTATTGGTCAAGTACTGATGACGTAAGAGGTAATGCTTTCAAAAACTTGTGACCAACGACAGCGTGATCACAAGTGTATTCATTAGTGACGCTGAAGAAGAGTGGTGAATGTCACTTGGAAACGCCCGGATATTATCTCCATAACTTATCCAGTAGTAGGAGTTTGAATTTCCTATGAGTATTGTTTACCTGGATGTCTAACATTCATATCATCAACACATGTAAGGCGCTTTCACTGATTCAATCTGAACAGGGCCATAGACAGCATCTGGTGTCACTCAGAAGGGACCGTACACTATACAAGGAGCCAGGGTTTCCAGCCTTGGAGCGGGAGCGTCGCTCCTTCGCTGTTTCAGCCAGCTCGTCGTCTGTTTCAGCTCGTCGTCTGTTTCAGTCCAGCTCGTCGTCTGTTTCAGCAGTCGCGTCGTCTGTTTTAGCTCGTCGTCTGTTTCAGCTCGTCGTCTGTTTCAGCTAGCTCGTCGGGACCGCTCGTCGTCTGTTTCAGCTCGTCGTCTGTTTCAGCAAGCTCGTCGTCTGTTTCAGCTCGTCGTCTGTTTTAGCTCGTCGTCTGTTTCAGCTCGTTGTCTGTTTCAGCTAGCTCGTTGTCTGTTTCAGCTCGTCGTCTGTTTCAGCAAGCTCGTCGTCTGTTTCAGCAAGCTCGTCGTCTGTGTATCAGCTCTTCGTCTGTTTCAGCAAGCTCGTCGTCTGTTTCAGCCAACCCGTTGTCTGTTTAAGCAAGCTCGTCGTCTGTTTAAGCTCGTCGTCTGTTTAAGCTCGTCGTCTGTTAAAGCTTGTCGTCTGTTTTACGTTTTGTTCCTATGGTCTTTCGTAGATTTGCCCCCGTTTTCTGGCAGCCAGCCCAAAGCGCCCCCTATATGTCCTTGCCAGTCACTGCAGTCTTGGCTCCCTGCCCAGACCTCAATCCCATCGTTCAGCGGTACTTTACCTCGCGTGACAGCGGCCACTCAGTAAGGTTCACCCCGCCTGCTGAAACATGTAACCGCTCCGCTACACTAACCTGCACCTGTGTTAGCCTGGATTCCATCCCGCTTAGGTCATGTCTATTCCAACAGTCTCTACAGGAAGCAGACGCAGCCCTAAACAGGATGACACCCAGGCTACACCTGTGCGGTCTAAGTGGACTTCACTGTTAGGTTATTTAATACCTTGCATGAAATAGGCCAATTTTATGTGAATAAATATGTCAGAAGTTAATGCTATTCACCTGTTTTCGTTTACATTTGATTTCCGGCGACCAGCATTTTTTTTTTCCGAAATACATGTATATCCTGCTTGTATTTTTGTTATCTTTCGACAAGTGTTTGGAAGGGAACAATAAACAATCTGTCAAATGCGACAAGAAAGACCTGTGACTTCTGGCTCGATATACCGATAGGCGGTGTGCAAAGGTTTTAGACTAAGACGTCTAAAGGCTAGGAGGTTTGATTCTAACCATTTGGTGCTGAAACGGCTACCTTAGCAGGCTGGAGGTTAAACATATCCGTCAATGTTACTTTTATTTTCACCTGTGGTTTTTAACTCATTGTGTACCCGTATTTCACATGAGTGGTTACAGCTTTTACATCTGTCAACTCCGCTTTTGATATGGGAAACAGAAAACACGCACGCATACAGGTTTGGCGCACGCTACTAAGGTAGCAGATGTGGGTCCTTGAACTGAAAATATTTTGTTGCTAAACGTTGAAACTATCACTGTTCTGACTGTACATTTTGGTGACAATTTGATGCATGTGGCATCTTTCCAAACGAAAATATAAAATCTGTCTAATGATCTAACATATTAACACATGTAATATTAAAAACAACGAACATTTCCATCCATAAATACTCGAGTTATGACGTTGACCGGAGACACACCACAGCTAGCTAGCGCTGCTCCACCAGGCTCAAACCGAAAACATACCTTTCTTGACGAAAACAATAAGACAAAGTTAGCCTGGTTACCAAACCTATTATAGCTCCCGAGTCCTACATCCTCTCCGCAACTATAGCTCAGTAACCAGGCTAAGACAAAGTGTTCACGGAGATAAAAAATAGAGTTTCAAATCAGGCGTTCAACACGTTGAAGAAGAGTGTCATCACCAGACACCTGTTCGTCTGTAGCTGAAGCGCCTCCTTTCTCCGCTTATCGGTACTGCAGAGTGCATGATGATGCGCATGCAGTGCTATAAATAGCACTGAATCAAGAACGACTGCAATTTCTTTTATCCCTGTTTCGTTATACATTTGTTAACACCTAGAATAAGTACACAAAGACCACCATTTTTAAGTACATACACTTTAAGTTATGCAAACTATGAAATATAATATCACATGCACAGCTATCAACTTACAAACTGAAAGACAAAGACACGTGTAATTCTATCTTTCTAAATATCCAAGGTATCTTTGTCTGGTGTCAGTTAAACTGCTAAAAATCCAAGGAGACGAGGCTCGGCTCGGTGTTGAGTTGATCTAGCCTTGGTAACATTTTTTCACGGGCCGAATTAAATGTGTTTCACCGGCAATTGCTGTAAAAATATGTCTTTTCCTGAGCCTATCCGTCTAATTGGCCCTTCTGAACACTGTCGTGCTAAAATTATCGAAACCGATCCCGTAAAAATGCCCCGACGTGCTTTAATGTGCCTGGCGGGAGGGGGGCACTCCCAGCGCCGTAGAGATGACAGGGACATGATTACTAGGCTAAAACCAAGGCGCCTCCTTTT